AGGCAGAGATGGAGGCTATCAGGCAGAGATGGAGGTTATGAGGCAGAGATGGAGGCTATCAGGCAGAGATGGAGGTTATGAGGCAGAGATGGAGGCTATCAGGCAGAGATGGAGGTTATGAGGCAGAGATGGAGGCTATCAGGCAGAGATGGAGGTTATGAGGCAGAGATGGAGGTAATCAGGCAGAGATGGAGGCTATCAGGCAGAGCCTCCATCTCTGCAACCAGCTCCATCTATCAGGCAACCAGCTCCACCAATCAGATCAGTGGTGCAACCAGCTCCACCAATCAGATCTCTTCTAGTCAAACTCTGAATCAACCAGTTTCCTGTCTGTTAAATCAGATTTAATAGAAAAAGCATCTGATTATTAAAATATTCTGTTATTAAAACTCATCCATCTTCATTTGTCTCCACAGAACCGTTTCCAGTCTGGGCCATAGTTCTACTGGTTCTACTGGTTCTGGCTCTGGTTGCTGCTGCAGGAGTTTCTGTTTATTTCTGGTTCCGCTGGAAACCAGGTGAGTCTCTAGAGCTGCATTACCCATAATGCCTTTGGTCAGTGTCTGCTCTCCTCCAGAGTAGGACTGAAGCAGCTGAGGATTTGTGGGTCTCAGGAGGACCTGTCCTCAAGTTTGAGGACAACTTGTCCTCAAGCTGTCTCTCTGTCAGCTTGAGGACAAACAGAACCTAAAGAGTCGGTGAGGATGGAGCAGACCTTGGTGGGTTGCTGCCAGGCAGCAGCTGGTTCCACTTCATCACCAGATCAAGGGACATGGACACATGTCTCTGTCCTCAGAGAGTCCTCCAGGAGACAGAGAGACAGGGAGGAGACAGTCAGGAGACCATCAGAGCTGCTGCTGCTGTCTGTCCAACTCATCTTGTCCTCTGTTGTCTCTCAGTCCAACAGGTGAAGGTGAAATCAGGGGTGGAGTCTGTCCTGCTGCCCTTAAAGGTCCCACATCGCCTGTGGTTCTGTAAATACAGAATCTTCCTGTCTGTGGATAAAGTGGAGTGGAGGGACGGAGACAACAGGACAGTCCATGTGTATCAGAACGGTTCTGATCAGCCTGGACAACAGGACAAGATCTACAGAACCAGAACCAAGATGGATGAAAACCTGCTGAAGACTAAAAACCTCAGTCTGACTCTGAGACAGCCCACATATGGAGACAGAGGGATCTTCACCTGCAGAGTCTACAGCAGGAAGGGACACGTCCTGATGAAGAAACGAGTTAAGCTAAAGGTCAAAGGTCAGTGGTTTAAATGTACTTTTAGAGGCCAAGCAGAGGAACTGTTTGGATCAGAACCAGTTCCATCCTTTCTGTCTGTTTGAACTGGATCGGTTCTGGTTCTGGTTGGTTCTCTTGGACCAGTTGGACCTCCAACAGTGAGCTGGTTCTGATTCTGAACCATTTAACCTCTGACCTGAATCCTTGCAGAACCCATCAGAACCGGGCCTCAGAGGTCCAGAACCTCCAGCTGGTTCTGGAACATTCTGGATCTCTGTTCAGCTCCAGAACCTCCTGGTCCAGTAGCTCCATCAACCCGTCCAGAACTCAGAGCTTCATGTCCATGTGGACTGAAGGATGTCCTGATGTGGGACAGAACCAGAACCCTGACAGAACCGGCCTCAGTCCAACTGGACCTTCTGTCTCCAACAGAGGACAGGAAGTCCTGAAGTTCTGCTTCCTGTCC